GTTGAAAGAGAAGGAGAAGAAGAGCAAAGATGCTGAGAGCTAAAGGTTTAATAAAAGCAAGGCAGTCATTTCAAAGACTTGGGTTCCTCCCCCATCAAAGATGCTTCTCTGCTCAGCCACTCTACGCCCCATATGATGATTTCCAAGATCCAGGTTTTTGAGAAAATTATTGGTTTTTTTATGGGTTTATAGTTTTTTGTGTCAAGTATGATTTTTTAGGTTAAATTTGTTAATTTCCGAGAAAAATGGATGACCCATGTTCATGTTTTTTTTGTCAAAGATTGTTTATTGGTGAGTGAAATGTTTTCAGGTTTTAGTGGAAGGAAGAGCTAAATCAAGAACAGCCATTCTCGATAGGCCTTCTGCTCTCAATTCACTTACCAACTCAATGGTTAATTTCTTGCCCTTTCTCTTTTTTCTTGTTTTGCTTTTAATCTTAAAGTTCATACATTTTTAACTTCCGGTCTTGAATTAATTGAAGTTGTTTTTCGATTTATAGGCATCTCGGTTGAAGAAATTATATGAATCGTGGGAAGAGAGCCCCGACATTGGATTTGTCTTAATGAAGGTATATAACATTGGATCTGTCTTCTGTATTTGGAATTTCTTCATGCCCTTGACATTTCGGATTCGATCTTCGTTTTCGTCTAAGCTTTTGTTTTGAAAATTGTTAAGGGTAGTGGCAGGGCTTTCTGTTCTGGTGTTGATGCTGTTTCTCTCTATCACTCACTTCATGAAGGTTAGCCACCTATCATTTTTGTTTACTCACTTGATTTGAGAGTTTAAACTAAGTGCGACTTGAGTATGGCTTCTGTTAGACCAATTTAAGAGCAACTTAGTTGGGCAGGAATTTTAATGAACATATGAGTGTTGAGTGTTCCAAGCTATCTTTGATTGATACCTTAATTTATCACATCAAACATCTCGATGGAATTTCATTCTGATTAAATTTCTCTATTGGTCTCGTAATCACGACTAAGTTCTAGCTTTTGAATAAATTGTGATTCATGGTTCAACTTCTTATATCTGTGCAGGGAAAGTTGAAGAATGTAGAAGTTTTTTTGAGACGCTGTATAAGTTCTTATACGTACAAGGTACATATTTGAAGCCACGTGAGAATTAAACTTTTGAGTGATGGATACCATATGAAGTACTTCTTGAATTGTTTTGGTGCATACGAGACGTGTGATAATAATGTGTACTGCCCATACACGCAGGTGGCAATCTTGGATGGTATAACGATGGGATGTGGAGGTGGAATATCTCTCCCAGGGATGTTTTGTTTAGTGACCAATAAAACTGTATGTGGTCCATACCTTCACAAAAAATTCTTGTATTTGAATTCATGGTACTGATCCAATTCATTATGTTTCTTATGATTGGCATACCTTCAATGCACTATAATTCCACTTCATGCTTCTGAATGAGACAGCATGAAGAAGGGAGGGTGATATCATTTGGATGAAATTCTTTAGTAGAATGAAACACAACCATTCTTCTCTTCTTGTAGTTGTTTGAGATATATACTATGCTATTACTGCTGCTTTCGATAAAGAAAACCGTTGAATGAACGAGAGCTCAAAATCAGGAATATAAATCGAACACATAATCCTCCCCTATCCCTCTGCCCCCATATTTGTCCTTTCAATTTTCTGGACTTGTATAAATGTGTCTTAACGCCCAAAAGATTTTCAGGCTTTTGCTCATCCAGAGACTCAATTGGGGTTCCATCCGGATGCAGGGGCTTCATTTTATCTTTCTCTCCTACCTGGTTACTTTGGTGATGACCGTTTCAATAAGTTTTCAAATACTTAGCTAAACTCCTTGATATACGAAGCTTAAATATTTCATATAGTTTTCTACTTTAGATGTAAGAATGTTCCATTTGTCTATATTATTTGCTTGTATCTGGATATATACATTCCATTCATCTTAACAAGTCATGTATACTGTTTTCATCAGGCGAATGCTTAGCACTAACAGGAGAAAAGCTTAACGGTGTCTAAATGATTGCCTGTGGCCTTGCTACCCACTATTGTTTAAACGCTGTTTGTTCTTTCTGCTCTTCCATATGTATTTGTTCTTTTTCTCCGGCTTCTCTTTTCTCGTCTTATTTGAATGAGCTGTCCATGACAGCGACTTGCTTGGATTGAAGAACATCTAGGTAGCTTGCTGAACGATGAACCTTCTACCATCAAGTCTTCTCTTGCACAGTACGGTGACATTGTTTATACTGATAGGAGCAGCATTCTTCACAGGTAATCGTTGTTTCAGGGACTATGGCACTTGAGGACAGTTTTTATAATTGTCTTGCGTTATCACGTGTTTTTTGTTCCAGGATTGAGACGATCGATAAATGTTTCTGCCATGACACTGTTGAGGAAATTATTGATTCTCTGGTAAGCTTAATTCTATGTAGTCGTGTATGCTGTTCATATAGACTTTTGGCTACATGTGCCATTGAATGTTCCAAAAATTCATCCATTCAGGAAACCGAGGCAGCAGGAACTTAGGATGATTGGTGCAAGACTGTGCTCGGAAAAATGAAGGAAGCCTCACCATTGAGCTTGAAAGTCACCCTACGATCTGTAAGCGACGTAGTGTTTACAACTGCTTTAAATTGCATTCTTAGCTGGTAACCAGTTTCTTTGGTTTATTTGTTGAATTAATTAGATACGAGAAGGTAGATTTCAATCTCTTGATCAGTGTCTGGCTCGAGAATATAGGATGTCCCTTGCTGGGATCTCCAAACAGGTCTCTAATGATTTCTCTGAGGTATGATCTTTATATTTCTCCTTTTACATAAAGAGTGTTTCCCAAATACAACAACTACAATAAAACCCTATTCCCATATGCAATGGGGTAAGGGGAAAGTACGGTAGTAGGCTGCCCCCAACGCCAGGATTGAGAGCAGCTTCCGTGGAAGATTTCCGGCAGTCAGAAAATTAAAAATAAAGATAAAATACAATGCATGTATAAATACATAAATAAATACATAGTTGAACAGTCTTTATATGCAGTCTTCATATGCGCGTCTGTAATTGGAAGTAATCCCCGTAAATAAATCCTTGCGTAAAAATCTCTGCATATAGACAGAAACGTAAGACCCGGCTTAATTTAAAAAGACGAAACCTGAAGAGAAGGATACACAGAAGTCAACGATATGAACACGCACACACACACTCATACGCACATGCACATACACATGTATACGCACATGCACACACATGCACACGTCTATATCCTTACTCGAATATTTGTGCGTGATCAATTTGCAGTGGGATCCTCCAAGGCTGTAGGAGGTGAGAAAAGACATGGTGGAGTATTATTTCACCCCACATGGGGAATTAGAGCCCGAATTGCTGCTGCCAACAGCTTTGAGAGAACCTTTTATATGAAACATCTCTTTCTTGGGAAACAGAGATTTTTAAGGGGCTTAACATTAAACATCCCATGAATTTTTGGTGTATCTTCACTCACCAAAAACACCAAGAAGAAGAAAGATTTGATTTTTATTTAGAAACGTTTGGTTCAGGAAATATGATATTATTTTTTTGAATAAGACTACTGGAATGTAATATTATTGGAATGTAATATTACTTGACATGAGAATGTTATGTTAACTTTATGGTAGCTTCTTTAGTTCATTTGGTCTGAAATATATGATGATGTTTGGTTGATAAAATGTAAGATGCTTTTATTAAATTGTATTTGTTATAATTATTTTTAAGCAAGGTTGCTTTTATTATTAAATTAAGAAATCTTGATATAGAAGTTTATAGAATTCGTTCTACATGTTCATATAGAAAACATATTGTTAATATACCTAAATTTTATCTAAATTTTACACTAAACATATTATATTGGTTCTACTGTGATGGTGGTAGGAGAGATGATAGCCCAGAGTTTTGGTTTTGAAGTTGTGGGTCGACAGAATAATGCATTCCTCATGGAAATCGGAATGCTGCTTGTGGAAGAAACTGATAAACTATGGGTCAAGGTTATCAAGAGAAACTATCGATGGAATGGGGTGGTTCCGTTGAGTATAAAACGTCCGAGATGCTCATGACTTTGACAAGGTTTGAATTGCATATGGGAGGATATGCGAAGAAGCATTGTCTTGAATGTTCGAAATGGAATTGATACTGATTTTTGGTATGATAACTGACTAGACATTCTCGAATCGCTGGCCAATCACTGTTTTATTTAGTGTTAATCACAACCAACTCCGATTTGCTCGATGGTCACGGGAACATATAGTTGGTATTGGAATAGGCTATCGACTAGTATTCCATGAGATATGTGTAACCGAATTGCAACCATATATCCTCCTAATCCATCAATTGGTGACGACAAACCTGGGTGGCATTGGGATCAATCTAAGGGCTTCACCACGAAGTCTGCTTATGATGTATTATCCCAGACCTGCCACCATGAAACTACTGAATCGTGGAAAGTTGTGAGGCAAACACAGGTCCCGCAAAGAATCAAGACTTTCCTTTCGATAACGTTGCATGGCATGTTGGTTATCTTAAAGTTAGTAACAAACTTGATCACAAAACAAAAACAGAGGCTTTTGTGATGCTCAACACACTGCATCATTTTCTGGTTTTCTTATTATACAAGCAAATACAAAACATAACTGCACCACTAACATAACAGCCCACGTTTTCTAAAAATAAAACTAACCATATCAACTTTACTCAAATAACTGCTACTCTACTTTTATTAACTGCTGACACTAAATACTAACTGCCTAAAATATGCTTAAATTTCAAAACCATACAAAGACAACTCCTAGAGACAACTAGATTAACTCAACAATCTCCTCCTTAAGCTTGTTGTCCTCCATTGACGATCCGCACACCAGTTTTCTCTCTCATTTCCAAGAACTTCAATTTTGCAAGTGACTTTATCAGAATATCAACACACTGATCTTCTCTGCAAACATGTTGAATTTCAATCATTCCTGATTCAACACAATCTCTAATGTTGTGGAATCAGGTATCGATGTGTTTGCTCCTCTCATGGTGAACTGAATTCTTGCTCAGTGCAATCGCAGACTGATTATCGATCTTTAGAACCACTTTCTTAACCTCGATCCTTAACAAATATGCCAACAGTAGTCCCAGCCACACTCCTTGACACGCTGCTGTACAGGTAGCGATGTACTCCGCTTAACAGGAAGATAACACAACAACTTTCTATTTTTGTGAACACCAACTAATAGGATATGACCCAAGGAAAAATATTAAACCTGAGGTACTTTTTCTGTCATTAGTATCACCAGCGAGATCACTATCGGAGTAACCGATCAGCTCCAAGCTTCCTACCTTTTTCTCATAAACGCAACCGAGGTTTAAAGTTCCTTTCACGTACCGCAATATGTGCTTCACTGTGGCCATGTACTCCGTTGTGGGCTTCTCCATGTATCTACTCACCATGACAACAGAGAATGCCAAATCTGGGTGCGTGTGCAGTAGATATCTTAAACTGCCAACAATACTTCGGTACAGAGTTGTGTCTACAGGTGGAATTGTGCTTTCCTTGCTCAGTTTCAGACGAGGTTCCATCGGGATTTTTGAAGGGTTGCAATCTTTCATGCCGCATTTGTCTAAAACCTTTCTTGCATATGTTGATTGGTTGAGTGTAATCCTTTGAGAATTCTGACAGACTTCAATTCCCAGATAGTAACTTAGTAGCCCAAGGTCACTCATGTTAAACAATTTCTTCATCTGTGTTTTAAACTTGTCTATGTCTTGAATACACTCTCTAGTGATGATTAAATCATCCACGTAGACTCCAACAATTAAATTCCCTTTACCTTGATTTCTCTTGTACACGACATGCTCTAAAGAACACCTCTCAAAACGAGTGTCCTCAATGACTTGTCCAGTTTTGAGTTCCAAGCTCTAGGTGCTTGTCGCAAACCGTACAATGCTTTGTGTAGTTTTAACACCTTGTGCTCTTCTCCTTTTATTTCAAATCCCGGTGGTTGAATGACATACACTTCCTCTTCCAAATCATCGTTGAGGAAGGTTGACTTTATAATACCCAAAAATTTAGACAATGACCAAAATGAAAATTTGGAAAGTTTGATGGTCAAAATAGAAAATTGGGAAAAAGTTTGAGGAATTAAGTGATAAATTTCCTAAAAAGAATTTTATTCCATAAATGGATAGTTTACTCTTGAGAGTGGGGTTTTATAGAAATCATATTTTTGGATTTGGAATTTAGTAAAGAAAAATTAGAAAGGGTTAAAGCCGATAAGGAATCGGTAATTCATATCGAATTGGAATTTCACAAATATTTGAAGGATGTTATAAAATGGTTGGAAATATTATTTTAATATTTTGGATCAAAGAAATTTGGTTTGGAAATGTGCAATTTTTTAGATTTAACCGAAACAGTGGAATTTAGTGACTAAAACACAATTTTTGAAACTTCAAGGGGAATTTCGGAAATGAAAGTCAAATTAATTCATATTTGACTTTGTAATATGATATGGATCAGGTGGCTTGGTTTTATGGTGAATAGGAAGATTCATTAAGGGCAAAAATAGAATTTCTCATTGAAAGGAATAAAAAAATGCCATTATAATATATATTGTCATGTGATAGATTTATTTATCATTAAATATCAATCATGGATGAGCATTTCCAGCTTCTTCTTCCTCCAAGGTCTGACACTTTCAAGCAAGAAAGGAAAACATTTTTAGTTTGAATTTTGAAGCTATTTCTTGAGAATTAGACTCGGTGTGGTTAGGAAAAATGTTCTACGTTCAATTCTCTACATTTTGACATGAATATTACTAGGATTCATGTTCAAGTTCATCTTGAGTTGATGAAAGAGGATGATGATTCTTGTGTTTTATGGGTTTTGAAGAGTTAAGTGATTTTAAAGAATTGGTTGTGAGAATTTATGAAGAACCTAAGGATGAGGTTAAGAAAACAATTTATATTTTGAATTTTTCAGTGGGTTTGGAAATTTATCAGAAATTATATAAATATAATTTGGAGGTTATTTTTATATATATTGTTCATATATTGATCCAGTTCTGTTTAAAACAAACGTGGATCAATTTCAAGGTGTATACAAAGAGATATGAATTTTTAACTAAGGAAAGGTCAGAAAAATCGGACAGCAGATTCTGCAAAACAGATTCTGTTGATCAACTTTGAAAAGTCACCATAAATTGTACAGAATGAATTAGGAGTTATTTATATGGATAGATTTGTATTCGAGTCTAGTTTTCAACGGAATAAACGGAATTAAATTCCAGTGTGTTTATAAATACATAATACTGATTCATTAAAGGTAGTTTGAGTTATCTGAATATGGAAAATTGTTGGGTTGTTGTTTAAGTGTTATATAATTGATATATTTTAATGTTGGAATTAGTAGTATTAAGAATTTAAGTGGTAAAATGGTGAAGAACCATTTTGGGTAAACTGGAAAAGTTGGTTCCAATGTTATAGGAATTATTAAGTATTGAGTATTTTGATAGAAAATGAGTTCAAGCTATTGGAGTTATTTTGGAATGTGTTTATGTTAGTACAATACTAACATATGTAATCGTTATGAATTGTGATTTATACAAATTATTATTGATTTGTGATTGACGCAAGTCAAGTATAAAAAGGGTTTATTATGGAATATAGTGAGGCTCATATTTTGAAAGATATAAAGTGTCAAGGTGAGTGCAATACATGCATGACATTATACATGTATGTTTTATACATCATCAGGAAGACTTGCGATAAGTCAAATTTGTTTATCTTGACATGATATTTATGTCATTTATCATATATTTGATATATTCTAAATATGTCAAAGGTTGAAAATAAAATGCATTGATCACTGATTTTTGCATATGATTTTTATCATGAATGTTATTTCGGGTATGAACTGCCCAATGTTAAATATGGATAGAATACTTTGCCATGGATGAATTGAATAAAATAGATTATATGCCCAAGTAAGTCATTGAGGGACATGGTATAGTTGGCATGCCATAGAGTATAGCAGCTGCAAGTTTATAATCCACTTCGGTGTATATGGTGGGCACGACCTTATGTGTAATACAATTCGGTGTATATGGTGGGAACGACCTTATGTGTAATACACTTCGGTGTATATGGTGGGCACGACCTTATGTGTAATACACTTCGGTGTATATGGTGGGAACAACCTTATGTGTAATACACTTCAGTGTATATGGTGGGCACGACCTTATGTGTAGCACTACGGTGGAAATATTACTCAAATACCCAGGGTTCTCAGGGTTGTATATTGGGCTATAGGCTATGGTTTATGGTTTATTGGTTAATAAATGGTAACCATGCAAATAAGCTTACGAGCTTATGGAACAAATGATAAGTATATGGGTAAAATAAGCTTACGAGCTTATTGAACAAATGGTAAGTGTATTGGTAAAATAAGCTTACGAGCTTATAGAATAAATGGTAAGTATATTGGTAGAATAAGCTTACGAGCTTATAGGAAAAATGAGATTTTATATCATTTTGATCATGTAAAATATGGATATTTGGAAATATGATTTTATGGCATTTTAAATTTAATTGAAATATGCATGAATTTATTGATAGTTATTTTTTAATTTCATAAGTATTACTTACGTGTGATGATTTTTTTTTAGAATAAAGTTGGAAACAAAAATGGAAATTTTATAGTGATGAAAGGTTAATTTTTATGAATTTTATATGTATTTTTCGGAATTTACTGTAGCAGTGTATCGATGCACTGTTGCAGTGGATCGATACACACTTTTGATTCGAAATTTAGGTGCATCGATGCACTGTTCACGTACTGTGGTAGTGCATCGGTACACTATTCATGGTATTGTTCACTATTCACTATTCATAAAAATATACTTTGGTTTTAAATTTGTTATAATGAAACATAATTCTTATGATATGATATTTTTTATAATATTATTTACCATTTTAAAAGAAATAAATTCTAAATCAATTTTGAAGTGAAAATGGTTTTCAAAAATACAGGTGACATCTATAATCTGTATAAGTATAATTATACGGGTTATGGGTGTTACATTTATTAACATCAGAGCTACAGGTTTAGCCGATTCTAGGACTAAACCGAGGTTATTTTGAGTTAAAAAGTGTATACATGCCACTAGGATGTCAAAAGTTACTGATAGTTGTATATATACTGTGATGATGTTTATTGGGAGTAAAGTTATTCTTTACTAATGTATGATGATTCTGACTATGTTCAGATGTTGGAAAGAAAGTCGAGATTGAAATCAACCAAAATGGGACACGACATGACTTATGTAAAACACCTTAGAAGGGTGGATGTTATAAAGGATTTTACTCCATTTTATAGAAGAGATGCCCCAGTTTTTAATGAAGATTCTGAATTAGAAGAATCGATTAAATAGTTTGAACGGATTACAAGAAAAGTTGAATCGGATGAGGATTCAGAGGAGATTTATGAATCTAGTAATGATTATGAAGTTTCTATAGGTAAGCTTAAATAAGTGAGAAATATTTAAGCTAGGCATTAAATTGTTTAAATTATTGTTGATTTGAGTAAGAGAAATTGAGTAAGCGGTAAATATGTTTTCCGCTAAAAGTTTAAAGAAAGTTGAGTTATTGGTAAATCACATGGTTATAAGTTGGATTGAGAATAAATATCAAGTCCATAAAACTGGATAGAGTTACCTTGTGAAGGTAAATATGCGAAAATGGATTGTCTAGCCTTTCATGCTACAATGAATTATTGTTTAGATTGAGATGGATTCTCAAGAACTTGAAAAGTGTCAAGTTCGTAATGATAAGAAAAAGAGTAAATTTTATTTACTAGTGTGATTTTAGCATTAACTGCTATGAAGTTTTTGCTACCAATTTATCAAGTTTTCTTATTAAACGATGTGAACATTGAGACTTCCATTTGAGATGGAAAATGTATCAATTGTTCGAAAATATTATATTTGGATCTGGAAAATTTATACATATTTCCTTATGATGAAATAAGGAATTCCAAAGTAGAAATATTCAATTCTACTTTATATCGAGTGATATTATAGCGGAAGACCCATAGGTCAGGTCATGATACAAGGGTTAGAAGGACAAATAGTAAATGTCTGATAAAGATTCAGGAGTTTATGTTACCGGTGAATCTTATGGAATTATTATTAATGAGTTTTAGATCATTTTGATCATGTGTTGGTGTCTACATTGAGGTTGGGTTAATAGTCGCAAGAAGCGATTAATTTATAAAAATGAGGAGAAGTTAAAAAAATAATAATGATTGATGAAAAAGTGAAATATCATTAAAGTGATATCAACAATGGTTATGATTAAGATGATGTAAAATGGATGCATAGATTTTCTAGCTAAGGTGATCGAAACTCAAGTATCTGAAGTAAGATCATATGGTATTTCCATAACTCGGGAATTTTTATATGTCTTTTTAGATTTATTATTATGGGTTACCTCCAAATTGAGAGGTGGAATTCAATATTGATGGTTATTAAGGCATTAATCATATATCTATGAGTTCATATTGAATAGTTGTGATTGAGTTAAGAGAATAAAGAACCAATTGCAAGAGATGTTAAATTGAGGATGCATTAGACCAAGTATTTCAACTTGGGGTGAATCGATGTTGATTGTGAAAAGAAAAATGGATATATGCGATTTTGCATAGATTATCGATAATTAAACAAAGTAACTATCAAGAAAAATAT